GTGTATTTTGAAAGTCCGGTTTAAGTTGCACTAACATGTTTACGTGTATTTTAAAAGTCCGGTTTAAGTTGCGCTAACATGTTTACGTGTATTTTAAAAGTCTGGTTTAAGTCGCACTAACATGTTTACGTGTATTTTAAAAGTCTGGTTTAAGTCGCACTAACATGTTTACATGTATTTTAAAAGTCCGGTTTAAGTCGCACTAACATGTTTACGTGTATTTTAAAAGTCTGGTTTAAGTCGCACTAACATGTTTACATGTATTTTAAAAGTCCGGTTTAATTCGCACTAACATGTTTACGTGTATTTTAAAAGTCTGACACAATAAATCCATTTTCTCTGTCGTCATGGAAACAGACTGAGTGTCGTATTTTCAAATCAACAAAACTTTTGCAAAGCTGCTCACAGGACAGTCAAGCATCATCGGGTCAACATCAACATGAGTCAGTACAGTAGGTTACTGATCAGAGGCCCGATCGCATCATCACAATGTAGCTTTATCAGGGGAGATAACATGGTGCGTTTTAACGAATGAAAAAATGAGGAGTTTGTATGTAAAATCTACTGAAGTAAGAACGTAGGAACAGAGAACCTTCAGCACTTTTATATAAAACACAAGCACTTCTCTTTGAAACCTAAAGGAACATCAGCGACATGTATGGAAACATGTGCCAGAGCGTCCTGGTTGAACTGTGTCTATTTTTGGGGTCATCAGCAGATAAATCACAGACGAGGTTCATCAGACGTACGGCTGCTTTTTGTTCTCTACATACACACAGAAATGCCATTTAAATCCATCAACCACCAGCTCTCTCATCTGGAGTCAGCCCGTTGCTATAGTTACAGTTTGGCTTCTGAAGGTCGACGGCGACCACGTGAAGCCGTCCGTTCCCCTACACGGACCTGCTGCCTCAGAGCCCTGCTGGCTTCAGAGGGCGAGCTGCAGTTAGCGAGTTAGCATGTGGTTAGCTTTGCGAGGCAACGAGCCGAGCAGCAGTTCTCTGAAACAGTCAGCTGCAGCCACGAGGCTAATTATAGCCCTCTGCTCCAGGATGCTTTAAACAGCTGATTGGTTTATAGGCTGGTGTGAAGGACACACACACACACACACACACACACACAACACACACACACACACTCACTCTAATGGTATAAAGGCTCTGATGCAGCATTACCTTCAGAGTGGCTGTTAGCTTTAGCAGGGTTTTCCCGTGAGATATTATAGTGAAGGTATTTATTTATTCATACTAACATTAAGCTTCAAGGAGACGATCAGAACGTCCTTATCAGTTATCAGTCACCACATATTTAATGAGCGAGGCATCTACAACGTGGCCAGAGCACATTTACAACCTTTTATAACTGAGAAATATCAGCAGTTTACCAGTGATATCAGTGATACTGTCGTAGCGCTGACACTTTTACCGTCAACAGCTCAGGGCTGCCTTCTGGGAAATTCGTCAGTGTATGATTGTTTACTGTGAAGAGAAAAATGGCTCGAGGACGTGGCCCCTGAGTGTGAGGATTCTCTGCTTCGATCACTTTTCTAAAAACTTAATATTTTATCAATTGGTGGATGATTCGATCAGAAAAGTATCTGTTAGCTGCAGCGTGTGTCACAGCAAAACAAAAACATTGCTGGTTGATTGTGTGTGTGTGTGTGTGTGTGTGTGTGTGTTTGAAGGTGTTGTCAGATAAAAAAGGAGTCAGCACTTAGTTCTCATGTGTCACTGTAGCTACTGACAACACACACACACACACACACACAGGCTGTGGTGTTTGTTATTGTTTTGGTTTCGTCTCTTGAGTCACTTCCTTTTTTTGACACTTTAATCCACTGATTGGACGGATTACAACACACACACTCAAACAGCAGGCCTTTGAACTGAGCTGCACTGTGTGTGTGTGTGTGTGTGTGAACCTCTGTTATCTGAAAGGACCCAGGTGTGCTGGTCACCACGGCAACAAGGGGTGAGTCACTGAGTGAGAGACAATAACAGAGACAGACAGCTGTCCCTCTGTCATCAGCGATGAGACTGTTGGAGGGAACTGATGATTAAGTAATGGATGTTATTGATCTGAGATCGTCCAGCAGAGGACAGGCTCTGTGTTGTGTTCAAGAACATCCCGACATCTGAGGATCAACAGTTATTATTTTTTCAACATCAGTCAGGAAAGGGTTAACTGGTTGTCTTCTGGAGGTTTGATTCTCACATGTCTTTGCCTCGTTTGTCCTCCTCCTGTCCTCTTCTGTCGTTCCTCCTCCTCCTGTATTCTTCTGTCAGTCCTCCTCCTGTCCTCTTCTGTCGTTCCTCCTCCTCCTGTATTCTTCTGTCAGTCCTCCTCCTCCTGTCCTCTTCTGTCAGTCCTCTTCCTCCTGTCCTCTTCTGTCGTTCCTCCTCCTCCTCCTGTCCTCTTCTGTCGTTCCTCCTCCTCCTGTCCTCTTCTGTCGTTCCTCCTCCTCCTGTCCTCTTCTGTCAGTCCTCTTCCTCCTGTCCTCTTCTGTCAGTCCTCCTCCTCTTGTCCTCTTCTGTCAGTCCTCCTCCTCCTCCTGCTCCTGTCCTCTTCTGTCAGTCCTCCTCCTCCTTCTCCTGTCCTCTTCTCTCAGTCCTCCTCCTCCTCCTCCTGTCCTCTTCTGTC